TGGAAAAAGGAAGGACCAGTCCTCGAGTGGAAGCGGACCCCAAAAAGAAGCGACCACATGTGAAGTCATGTGTTGATACATGCGCCGCGCCCCTCAACGACTACACGCCAAACATCCCTGCTTGGGATGATGACACAACGCCTAAAGCATCTTTTCCATCAATAGGCGTTGAGACCGATTTTCTCAGAACAAGGAGGTCAGACGCAATGAAACAGGTGTTTTGCAAAAAACAACTTTGGCGATTTTCTGTGCTTGGAGGAATCCGCAGAAAAATCTGAAGTCTTGAGAATCAATGGATGAGGTTGTGTTTTTCTAGAAAAAATATCAAAACATTAAAAAAAAAACATATAGATCACGAAATAATTGTCACGCCGATTCAGCAGATTTTCTATTTTTGCCATTCAGCCATGTGTGGGCTAACTGAAAAAGTACTCCAAATCCAGCGAGTTTTCGTGCTTAGAAGAATGCGTGAAAAAACGTGAAAATTGGAGTACTCGTCGATTTTGTTGTGATCTTTCAAAAAAAAATGCGAAATAAATTTAAAAAAATCATTCCAACTGTGAAATAGATCGCGACCGTAATTTGACCCAGATTTCAATTTTGCCATTCAACCTCTTTCTCTCTCTCTCTCTTTCTCTCTCTCTTTCTCTCTCTCTCTCTCTCTCTCTCTCACACACACACACACACACACTCGTGCGCGCGCGCGCGTGCGTACATGGTCTTAGTCTCATTGCTTTAGCTACCTTAGGGCTGCGTACCCTGCGCCCACGTGGTAGACAATGTTGTTATGGCCCAACAGTGTTTCAGACAGCTACAAATGGGTTTATTGCTAGGTTACCCGATCGGACATCCAGGACCTCCCCCTGGTTGTCCGCTTGGACAACCAGTCGGACATCTTCCCAGGGCAGTCTGTTCGAGCCTGAAAGCTAAAAAAAAAATTAAAAAAATCCGAAAAGCAAAATGTTATGCAGAAAAATAAACTGAACAACTTTTGTCTTGGGATGACATCGAAATTCGTTGTCAAATTTAAAATAAAAAATAAAACTAAGGACACCCCCAATTCTTTTTTTTGTTTTTTTCGTGCTTTTAATTGCTAAAAATGTAGTTGTTCGGGGCCGGACGCCCGGACCCCCCCTGATTGTCCGGCCAGGATGTCCTGCCATTGAACAATTGGTAACATAGGTTCATTGTGATCACACTGAATCAGGACTAGGTTACCCCCTCCTGCCTCATGAGCACCCGTCCACATGCCAGATTGTGATACAGCCTACAAGCTGGATACTCAGGCCTCGCTGTAAGTCGGTAAGCAGCCTGAAGGCATCTCCATGACCCCTGAAGCGGGGCAGGGAAGCCCAATTGACTTACCGTGAGGGCATGGGTACGCAACCCGTAGTTTGTATATGCTTGATTGATAAAGGAGGCGTTATTGGTGAGGTTTAGAAGTATGCACTTGCAAATGCAATGCAGGTGTGTCGTTTTAACCTGCGGCCAAGGCCGCGCCCTTTCCGATTCAGACTTTCCACTTTTCCACCCTGCCTCTGCTTTGCCACGGTTTCGACCAAAACCCAGCGCGCGGTCCCACGGGCAGCTACCGGTCCTGCATTTTTCAAAGAAACTGCCACCACCCCCCAAAGTGTCGTGCCTGCACCTGCCTGCATTTTTCGAACCTTCCAATGACCAAACGAGGCCGAATCAAGGACCGGTATAACGAAGGACGACAAAAATGTCTTAAGGGGGGAAATGTCTCAAGGGGGGAAAACGCACCCCTGACGGGCTGCAAACAAAAGGCCTTGGAGGGAAGCCTGGGGGTGCTCGGGGCAGAAACAGAGGCAGCGGCGAAGGGAAAACCCAAGAGGATACCAAGGCAGACGACAAAACCCAAGAGAACAAAGCTCTCAACTGCCACCACCCCTGTCCTTTGTGGCGCCATCTGCTGGTGGGCCCCACATGATCTCACCTTGACCCCTTTTTTTTTTCTTTTTGGGAAGGTCATCAACTCTGCCCCTGGAGCACTTCCGCAACCTTCAGGCTGAGGACTCCAGCAGTAAGGCCCCAAGGTCCAGGGCAGAGAGCGCCGGAAGAACTTCGTCGGGTGGTGCTGGGAACTTTGTCAGGTGGTGCTGGGACCAGCCATCGTGGGAACTCGGTGGCAGCTCCTGCAGCCTCACTGTTGGGAAGGACCTGTGGGTCACAGCCTAGCCCAGCTTGTTCCAGTCCAGTCCAGCCTGTTCCACTCTAATATTCCAGCCTGGTCCAGCCGAATGCCTTGGGACTGTTCGGGCTCCGTCAGCTTGTTCCAGTCTATTCCAGCCTGTTCCGCTCTACTATTCCAGCCTGTTCCAGTCTGTTCCAGTTTGGTCCAGCCTGGTCCAGCCTGGTCCAGCCGAACTCCGTGGGACTGTTGGGGGTCCCTGAGCGTGCCCGAGGCATCAGGAATGGGAAAATGTCAGCGTCCCGACTTGTCCCGCGCGAGGTCTATCGTTTTCCTCTGACTGGTCTTCCGTACAGTTCAGCTGGCCGGTCTGAGAGGGGAGGACAGAGCTTCCTGATCGTCTTCTCGTCTGTCATCTTCCCCCATCTACGAGACGAAGCCACTGACAGCCATCGCTTCCCGCCAAACCATAGTAATGACCACTTCCCCATGACCACAGAACCAAAGCGAAAATAGTGAACGTGGAAGTGATAAGCCATCGTCGCTGGGATGACAACCATTGAACGCACGCATGGAAGGTAAGCTCATCGTCTCTGTTGGCTATGGCGTCCAACGTGGAAGTTTTCAACGCCACCTTGGATATGACGTGTGCGCGCGCATGGCATTCTCTTTTTCCCTTTGTCAACGATCACTACAGGGCAGTTGGACGCCATAGCCAATAGCCGATAGCCAATAGCCAACAGCCATCCCTTTGAATCGATCCATGGCCACTGGCATGGATGCCATAACTTATAGCTTATAGCCTATAGCCAATAGTCATCCCTTTGAGTTGATCCATGAACTATGGCATAGATGATGCCATAGCTAATTGCGCGCCAGATCCTAACGATCTCAGGTCAGTTTTTGACGCCATAGCCAAAAGTCATCGCTTTTGTCTATAGTTGATTCGTGTTCACTGCCATGCAAGTGACAGCCAGACGATATAGCCAATAGCCAATCGCTTGGAGATCTTCCACATTCACGACCTTGGAAGCCATAGACGATCTCAGGTAAGAGGCCATAGCCAATAGCCAATCGCTTGGTGATCTTCCACATCCACTACCACGGAAGCCACAGACGATCTCAGATGAGTTGGAGGCCATAGCCGATAGCCAATCGCTCGGAGATCTTCCACATCCACTACCATGGAAGCCATAGCCGGTCGATCTCCGTCCAAGGGCAGCGCGCAGCTCCGTCACTCATCTCTCCCCGCACCTCAGCTAGCAATGCAAGCGACATTAGACAAGCCGTGATCAATAGCAGAACTCCATCCCCCCGCCATAGCCGCGCCATAGCACCTGTCACTGCGATGCTGTAGGGCGTAGCGAACGCCATAGCATCAGCCATAGCCATGCTATAGCCGTAGGCGAACGCCATAGCCACGCTATAGCAAAAGCCACATGAGCAGCCATAGCTGAACTAGGCAGCCACACCAGAACCACCTCATCCATTTAGCCACATTGCCACATAGCCATATAGCCATATAGCCATATAGCCATGTCGCCATGTAGCCATGTAGCCATGTAGCCATGTAGCCAATAGCCAGATCGATAGATCGGCGAGTTTCATTGCTGTGGCTATGGATAGGCGGATCACGCTGACGTTTGCGCGCCAGGCAACAGGTCCAACAAATATCGCTACTCCATCGTCCCTCGTCCGACATAAGCAGGATCTTCTTCCTCTTCTTCTTCATTGTCCTCTTCCCTCCCCCTTCGTGTGCGTGATGATCCTGCAGCTCTGTCTCGTGTAATTCTTTGGTGACGATCTGAGCCTTATCCTCTCATCCATGGCTGACAAGGGAATAAAGTGATGATTCATTCCAACTCTGTACGCCTCCCACGTGTCCCTCTCTCCTCCTCGTCCTCCTCCTCCCTCCTTCTCAGTCACTCCGCTACCCTCACCGAGTGCTCTCTCACATTCAGTGACCCTTACAGCCACCATCAATTCTACCTTTTGTCCTTTTGAACCCTCTCTCTCTCTCTCTCTCTCTCTCTCTCTCTCTCTCTCTCTCTCTCTCTCTCTCTCTCTCTCTGCGTCTTGTGTGAAACGCGCACAGAGGACAGGGCCCGTCTCTTTCTCTGTGTGTGTGTGTGTGTGTGTGTGTGTGTGTGTGTGTGTGTGTGTGTGCGTCTGTGTGTGTGTGTGTGTGTGTGTTTGTGACACGCGCACAGAGGACAGGGCCCGTTATGTGGACGTAGGCAGTAGCCACGCCCCCTAATCAGCATACGACAGGATGATTAAGAAGCAAGCGACGACGAGACACGTGTTACGGCGCGCCACGATGACTCGATTCTTTGGCGGGAAACGTGCTCCAGAGGTATGCGCCAGAGGCATTGATTGACGATGAGTTGGGACTGAATTCCGATCTGGCGGGAAACCTGCTCAGCTTCGGCTTCCAAATTTGGCGGGAAACCTGGCCCAGAGGGCGTTCCTCCTCCTCCTCCGCCAGTGCCGGCAGCCATGGGCAGCCATCCGATCACAAGAAGACAGGTCCACCGTTCCGTCACGAGCTTGATCGAGCGCTGACGACAGCCAAATCCCCCTCTTGACCCGAATAGAACGCGGGATCAATCGTCCCCGTATCTGGCCTGGATGTTGCCCTCAATGCAGAGATATACATAATGAACGACCGGGCGTTCTAGACACAGAATCCACGAGAAAAGGAAAAAGAAAGGGCGAAAAAATACAAGAATCAGCAGCATCTCAGTGGAACGTTCGATCACAAGCTGGCTTCCACCCCCCCCGGCGTCTTCCCCCGTTTAGAACGCCGGTTTCGGTGGCTTTCCCCGGGTCTAGAACGAGGGGCGCGGCCGTAGTATGGCTGTGCCCAGCGCCGCTGCTGCGCCGGGCACGACAACAAAAAACATGCATATGCGTTCTATTCGAGGGAAGAGCTTGGAGAGCGAGCTGGTTTCCAGACTGCAGGATCGCAAAGTCAGGAGGAGGAGGCAATTGCGCCCCGCAAAGCGAGTGCCACTGAGTCGGGATCTGAGACGAGTGCTCGGGCCAGCAGCCTGTGAACGGGATCTGACAAGAATCACCAGGGCCTGGAGGAAAGGAGGGGGGGTAATCACAGGCGGAGTGACGAAGAGGAGCTCTCTGCTGCTGCTGCAGACGGAGAAGGTAAGGAGAAGGGGGAGGGAGGGTAGCGGGAGAAGGAGGGAGAGGAGAAGGAGTCTCAGAGCGCGCCGAGCCGCTGAGGAAGACGTCGACGACGACGACGAGGAGGAGGAGGAGGAGGAGGAGGACGTTGATATTGAATCGCGAGGCAGCGAGGGACGCTGCCATTCCTTGGCTACTGGAAGTGCCGAGAGCATCAACTCCAACTCCCATAGCTGGCGTGCTATCGAGTCTATTGACACCTCGGAGCTAGTCAGGCAGTGTCAGAGTTTAGCGCTGACGTGTCAGAGCGGCAGAGGAGGAGGAGGGGGAGGAGGAGGAGGAGGTGGTCAGAGCTCAGCGGCAGCAGCGTGTCTGCATGCGACGATCAACGTACACCCCCTCGGTCATCACGACACGGGCCCAAACACGGGACCAGACAAGGGACCGGACAAGGGACCCGCTTCATACTCGTCCGTGGACAACCAGTTTCAGGCGGGATGCGGTACCTGCTGCAAACACCAAGCGGCCCATCGAGAAACCAGGGTAAGTTTTTTTTTTTTTTTTTTTTTTTTTTTTTTTTTTTTTTTTTTTGGGAAACCAGGGTGAGTACGAGCCTTCGATTGGGTTTTTTCTTGTTTTTTTTGCCTTTTTCCTTTCCCTCCCCTCTTCCCCCCGCCCCATCGAGAGACCAGGGTAAAAAAAAAAAAAAAAAAAAAAAGAGACCAGGGTAAGTACGAGCCTTCGATTACCAAATGTGCAGAATGAGAACGAATCTTGGCGTAGAACATGCAAAGATATACTGCCAATTGTTTTTGTCTTTTGTGCATGTGTGTGAGTAAGGGACCGAGGCCCTCTCTGTCTGTCTCGCTCGCTCGCGCTGTGTGTCCACGTTCTCTCTTCCCCCAGCTTCTCCCCTCTCTGTCCCCTCTCTCTCTCTGTGTTCGTGCTGAGGCACACCTCCTTGTGCGCTTGCGCGCGGGCGCGCGTGCGAAGTACACGTAGGTAAATGACAGTTGTGCAGTGCTTATTCCAGCGCGGCATTTGAGCCATATCACACCGCAGTGCTCGAACCACCACAGCGCAGAGCTTATTATTCCATCCCGTGAGGGAGAAAAAAAAAAAAAAGAAGAGTTGAACGCGCGGGAGCGAATAGCCAACAACGTTTTTTGTTTCTCTCATATTCTTTTTTCACCGTTCACTATCTACCTACCACTACTTCTAAGGCTATATAGATGGGACCCCTGCAAGCATAGCTACCTCACAATGAAGGGATTGCATGTTGCCCCCTGCCCTAACAAGGGTAGTCAGGGAGTGGGGAGGGGCCGTTGGTGGGGGTCAGGCTAATACAAAGACCGAGCATTTTGCCAGTAGCTGCACCTCCCTCTTTCATCTTCTCCCAACCCCCATCGAGTGACAGCAGTGTCTAAGGCCAACACTCTCCAGCACCAAACTACTCTTATATCCTTCTCTCAAATTTATTTGTTCCCTACCACTACTCCTAAGGGGTCTTTCTTTCATTACCTACCTACCACTACTCTTTTTTTTTTTTTTTTTTCATTAAAAGCCCAGGGTGTTGTAGAGGCTCTACTATCCTACCTCAGTGTGACCAGCACTCAGGACCATCACCCTACCAGTATTGAGGGCAACTTGGACCAGACAAGCACCAGGGCTGGGCCAACCTCCCAGCCGTAATGGAAGCGGAAGCGGACGAACCTTGCCGTGGGGGAACTTCCAACGCCAATCTTCTACAGGCCCAATTCAGAGAGTCTACCCAGCAGGTTACCTAAGCAAGGCAGGCCAGCGCCCACGGACACATCCTACCGTCCTTCCCCTAGCTTACCCAAGGCTAGGTGGAACTCAGACTAGCCGGAGCGACTTATATCCCTACCCTGCCCTAGAGCTAAGCCATGCATGCGTAGACCCCATTATATACCTGATAGACCCCCCCAGCCCAGTACCGTAGTTGTGTGGATATGTGTGCGGCCAGAGGCTATGTCTGTTTTGTATGAGCCCATAGGGCCATGTTTTTGTGTCTGCCCGAAGGCTATGTGTGCTCTGTGTAACTGTATAGCGAGATATCTGTGCCCGAAGGCCAGATATGTGCAGTACTATGTAGAGGGAACTATGTGTTCGTTTGAAGAGATGGCAGGACTATGTGTTCGTTTGAAGAGATGACAGGCCAAGCTGGACAAGAACCCCCCCCAAAGTCCCAAGCCAGACTTGAACCCGTGATCTATGACATGTGATCTGAAGACTCTACCATTCTACCTACCACTACTCCTAAGGGTATACAAAGAGAGGTAGAAAGCCAAGGTTTTTTTTTTTTTTGTTATAGACTATCTTGATTATGTAATTGCCTTGGGCACTGGGCCCTGTTAATAAAAGTGCAATTTCGGAATTTCCGGAAAAAAAAAAGAAAGCCAAGTTTTTTTTCATGTGGCTCGCTGCCTTTTTTTTTTTTTTTTTTCCCCTAACAGAAAACAACTTTCATATTTCATCAACGCACAATCTAGGCGGGGGACCTGACCAGTTGAGCTAGGCCGGAGGTCATGGGTTCAATCCCCAACCACCTGGGGCATGCTACGGTCTTCACGGGAATAGAACGTACAGTCATTTTTCTGGACTGATACGGCTACAATGACCGTACGTTCTATTCGGGGGAAGACAGTAGGCGCCAAGCAGCTGAGACAGTCAGCTTGATCCTCCTGGTAGGTATCAGTTATGATCTTTAGCTAATAATAAGGTGGCGAGTGTGAGTGTGAGTGTGAGTGTGAGTGTGAGTGTGAGTGGGAGTGGGAGTGGGAGTGGGTTGCATTTGGTGTGTGGGAGAGTGTTGGCCGTAGACACTGCTGTCACTCGATGGGGTGGGGGAAGGTGAAAGATGGAGGTGAAACTACTGGCAAATGCTCCATTTTTTGGTTAGCTGGGCCTCCGCTGGCGGCCCCAACCCTGTACCCTAAACCACAAGTTCAAGGGGCAACATGCAATATCCCCTTCACCACTGTGAAAGGTAGATTGCAGGGGTCCCCTGTACAGCCCTAGGAATAGTTGTAGGTAGGTACTGAAAACTTGTGAAAAGCTAGGCTACCAGAGTGGACTTGCAGCCTCCCCACCAATAGATGTGGCCTCCCCGGCGGAGCTAGTGGTGTCTGCTCTTATCAGCACTCCTAGCTTCAGCTTGGGTGTGTTTTTCACAGGAAAAAAAAGAAAAAAAAAAAAGGAAAAAGAAAAAAAGAGTGGACTTGCAGCGTCACACAAAAGTGAATCATGCAATATCGAATGTACAATCCCTTGAACCAAGTAGAGAGAGTAGAAGAAGAAAGAGAGTGGCACGGGACCACTTGCCTGGCCGGGCCAAGGGRAAAAAAAAAAAAAAAAAAAAAAAAAGGTAAAGAATTTCGATGTAACCCGGAGGCAAAAGTTGTTCAGTTCATTTTTCTGCATAAAATACTTTTTTTCCGGATTTTTTGGTTTTTTTTCTTCTTTTGTTTTTTGCTGGGACCTTCCCTGGGACCTTGTCCCATTAACTCCGTTGAGCTAGGTCAACGTTGGGCTTTCGACGATGTGTGACTGTAGGCGACAGCGGAGATGCATGTCCTTCAAGTCATCTAGCGGTCCGTTTTTAATAAAAAAGGCAATAGAGACTATCTTTGCTTTTTCTTACAACAAAAAGCAGAAGTAAATCCTTTCTCTCGAATACTACTCCCCCTACCCTCGCCACTTTCCGTTGAGCTAGCTGTCTCCTTTTTTTGAGACAGCTAGCTCAACGACCCTCTTGTTCCCCCAAAAGGCGTTTTTTTAGAGAAACTGTACGAGCCTCCTTCCCTTTGCCATTTTTGTACAGAAGGGATTCTGGCAACTCTTCATTTTCTGCTGTGGAAGTGCCCGTATGCCACTCCATTTGTGAAAAGAGAAAAACCAGAACAATTGTATTCGTGCCATTTATAAATGCATTTCTCATTTGAAATTGAATTAGAATGATTTTTGTAGCTGTCCCACCGTTGAGCTGCCTCAGCTAAACGGTGCAAGTGGGACAAGGTCGTCGAACGGGAAAATCTTTCTGAATTTTCCCAGGGACCTTGTCCCACTTGCACCGTTTTGTTGAGGTCAAGCCCCCGTGGGCTCTTGGAATTTGCTTTGTTCAATTTTTTTTTTGCAATTAGGATTTAGATTAGGAATTTAGGCGCGTCTCAATTTTTGTTGCACGACGCTTCTTGCTTACGCACGCTTTGCCGCATCAGGATCTGTGTTCTGACTTTTCCGCACCTCCATCCTTGCGTGTAACTGTAACTTTTGTTTTGGCGGGCATAATTGCAACTGTAATCCTCCTGTTCTTGATATCTTTTGTGGCGTCCTTGTGCGCGTGTCCTTCTTCCTCTGTCCTATTGGCCTGAACGCTTGCATGACTGGATCGATGTGTGGGGTGAGGCTACGTCCCCCACGTCGCGGCCTGGCCATGGAGACGTAGGCACTTCCTTCCTCCTCCTTCTTTTTCCACTTAGGCACAACCCCCGGGTATCTCACGCAAGCATGCATGCTATAAATTTCGCAAGCGCGATTAACTCGCTCTCTAAGAATTCTGGGAGTTAGCGCGGTCGAGAGGATAGGTTAACGAGCGAGATTTGAAAGGTAAGTAAAGAGTTGGGCGATCCGATGAGCTGGTGCTGGGCATGCGGGGTTGACGTGGGGCCACGACGGACTGCGGCATACGGGCGAACCTGGCTGGCATGTTCGGACTAAGCGGGGTAACAACTCTGTGTGGTTGCGAGGCGACAGACTGCCCGCATCGGGACGTTGTGGAGAGAGAGAGAGATAGACGGGATGTGTGGTGGTGATGGTTCTCTTCCATCCTTCTGAGCGATTTTCGTATTCGGCGCCAGTCGCCTTGTCCTTCTTTTTTATCGACATCTCGGATTTTTCGTTTTCCTTGCTTGCTTTCTTCGAAGACTGACATGTGGATTGTTTTTCCCAACTCCCCGTCTCTGTCTTTTTGAATCGGCAAATCTGATTGATTGGTTCCCGGCGATCGAGCCTTGTGTGATCTCTGGGCAGATTGGCCAAAGAATTGTTGAATGATTCTCGATTCTTTCTGTTTGAATATAAGCTAGATGCATGGATGATAGGCGTGATTCTGTCTGTGTATGAATTGGATAAGCATGCTAGACAATTAGATGACCGTCTCACTAGAGGATGATCCATCTCGCGAATCGATGGCTTTCACCCATGTGATCGAAGGAAGGTCCCATGCACGCACGTGTAGGCTCGACCAAAGACGATCGTTGCCTACACGCGCATTTGCAAAACCTGAACTCGACTAATTTCCCGAATGGCTGGTGTTCCACCCCGACTTGCAGCATGAATTTCGACGTTCCCTTTCGTGTCACTGACTGCGAGTGTTTGAGGGATCGGGAATTCCATGAATATTGGGAGCACTCTTGTTTGCCTGCACGGCCCTGGGCGGAACCTCCGAAATTTCCCTACTTGACGGGGAACGAACGTATTTGCGAGTGGGACCTCGACCAGGCCTTGGGACGTAACCCCCA